TTTTTAAGTACCTACCAGTTCTAGAGATTACTCTAGGCACTAGACATAGAATGGGAAAAAAAAAAAAAATCTCTGCCCTCATTGAGGTTACACTCCAGACAGGAAGAACCCAAACAAGAAATAAGTGAAATTATTAGCATACTTGATGCTATAGAGAAAAAAAAAAAGAAAAAATAGGGGGTGTGTACTGGGGGTTGAGGAAAGGAACGACCCCAAATCTAGGAGGTTACCTGTTCACTTTCAGTTTATCATCTACAATCAACAGCTGTAAAATAAGTCATCAAAATACTAGATATTTCCATCTTCTTATACTTCGAGACACAAAAAGACAATCATTTAGCTCCTTGGTTCTTCTGATTAGAAACTTAGTTTCTTTAAGGAAAAGGCAAGTGTCAGGCAAAAAGTTGTGTAAGTGATGAAATGAATGACTTTAAGAGACAATTATTAAACCAATCGGGTGTGTCTTCGGTGAGTCGAACCTGTGGCGATACCTCTGTGCCATGCGGCCACCGCCCTTCAAGAAGGCAGTAGACACCCGTCCCCGTCGGTTTCTCGATCACCCCAAACTCAATCCTACAAGGATCCCCCAAATCGCCTTGGGCCTTGTGGCCTCGGGGTGGCGCTCTCTGGTCCCCAGAGGCCTGGCCTCCACTAGTCCCTCGCCGGCTCCAAGCACTACACGACCAGTCGCTGCCACCCCTGAAATCCGCCCACTGCCCCTCGCCAGCTCGGCAGCCGAGGGGCCGCCCCCGCCCGCCGCCGGCCCCTCGCCGGCTGCCACGTAACCCTTCGCGGGAACCAGGAACTGCGCCGTGGGCGGGAGGGGGGCGGCGTGCGTGTCAGTCCCGGGGGTGACGGGCGGCCCCCAACTCCCGGACAGCGGCGAGGCCCGCGGGGGCTCTGCATCCCCCGGCCCGGCCCTGGGCGCCGGGCTGCCGCCGGCACAGAATACAACAGGGCAGGCCCGCACCTCTGGGCGAAGACGCTGGCGCCTCCCCCGGCCTGGGCTAAGCCCCCCGCCACGCCGGGCCGAGGGGCCAGGGCCGGTAACCCAGGCCGGGGGAGGGGGCCGTAGGCCGGGTAGTGGGGGTGCGTGGCGGGCTCACCTCGAACATGAGCCCCAGCAGGAAAACCATCGCCACACAGGAGACGATGTCCGCGTGATTCTGCAGGATGAATTCGTGGCTCAGGACCGGGGGGCTCTTGGTGCTCTTCTTGCGAATCGCCATGGTGGGGCCGCCACCCGTGCCTGCAGGTGCTTCTCTTCTCTCCGCTCTTCACTGCTGCTCACCGACAAGCCGCCACCGCCGCCGCCTCCCCTTGGCTGCTCCTCACAGCCCCGCTGCAGCCGCTTGCTGGAGCTTCACTTCCCATCCCACAGCCAGTACGCAGCCGCCGGGGCCGCCAGAAAAAAAAAAAAAAAAAAAGGCGAGAGCGCAGCAGGGGCGAGCATGCGCACCCGGGAGGCGGTGCTCGCTGGTGCCGCGGCCGCCGCTGCGAGCCTATAGCGTTATCTACTGGCCGGAGGCCGCCAGGCGGGAGTGAAGGTAGCCCAGCTGCGTCCCCCGCTTGGCGCAAGGCCGGGGGTTGGGAATCGTTGGGGGCACGAGCTTCCCGCGCCCCGTTGTAGGCCTGAGACCGCAGCCAGTCACAGAGCGACCACGCGCTGTAGTGTGCATTGTCCTAAGCAAACCTTCCCCGCTTTCCTGGCCACCCTGCTCTTGGGTATCAATGCTTTCTTCCATGTTGATTGTCACTTTTAGAAAACCACTGCTACTGCCAAGATACCTAAAAATAGCTGACTACAGATGAGTACGGCGCATTTTTTAGCTTTAGCATCTGCCTTAAAATATAACCTCAGAGTTATTTTCCACACTCCCAGGGACTTTTCCTTACTCGTTCTAAACTTAGACTGGCTCTTTTTTTAAAAAAAAATGAGAAAAGAAACGTTTCCTATTCGAGTCCTGCCTCCCCACCTGCATGCCTCATCTCCCCATCTGCCCCGAAACTCAGATTAAAGACAGTTTGTTGTTGTTATGTGCCGTGGAGTCGGTTCCGACTCATAGCGACCCTGTACAGCGTTTCCGAGCCTCATCTTTCTCCCTCACAACAGCTGGTAGTTTCAAACTGCTGACCGCGAGGTTAGCAACCCGATTCATAACTCCTACGCTGCCAGAGCTCCTTAAAGTCAGTTTACTTCGTGTTTATTATCAACAACACTTATTAGTAATCTAGAGAGATGATAACGAGCATGTTATTTAGATATGTTCTCTTTCATCTTTTTGCCCAAACCAAAACTGCTTTGTATTCTTTCTCTTGGTAAATTGCACTTTCATTTACCTAAATCAGTCGTCTTATAGTTGATACTCTTCGACGTTCTTCCACATCCAATCTGTTACCAAACCCAGACAGTTCTATTTTTCTATTTCCCTGTTTCCTCATTTCTCTAAAGGAGGTCTTAATCTCTTGCCTACAATATTACAACTGTGGTGGAATCTTAGTGGTTTAAGCTCATGGGTTTTTGTATAAGAATCTGCCACTTACTACCATTATGAACATGAACAAGTTACTTAATGTCTATGAGACTCGATTTCCTCGTGTATTCATTTATTCAACAAATATTTATCGGCCGTTTACTATGTGCCAGTCCCCAAGAAGTATGAGCAACCCCTGGGGAAATAGAATAGAAAGGAATAAGACAAATGAGGCTATTTTTAAGAACTTTCCTTGTAGTTGTTGTTGTTGTTGTTAAGTGCCGTTGAGTCGGTTCCGACCCATAGCGACCCTGTACAGGGTTTCCGAGGGTGTAAATCTTTACGGGAGTAGAAAGCCTCCTCTTTCTCCCGCGGAGCGGCTGGTAGTTTCGAACCGCTGACCTTAAGGTTCGCAGCCCGATTCGTAACCACTACTCGTAGGAGAGAAAATTTCAAAATGTTTAAAACTGGCTGCTACTTTTCCTTCGCGGGCCCTGAGCACCTCACAGCTAGTCATATTCACCCCAGAAATCCCACTGTTCCGGGCTAGCCCGGCGGCTGCAGCCCAGGGACGCCCCACTCCCCCGCCCCGCCGCCTGCTACTGGGCCCTCACCAGTTGCCTTGTAGGCAACCTTTCGTGGAGATAGGACTCTAGAAGAAAAATAAAACCGGAAAGGAGGACCAAGTGTGGGGAAGTTACATTTACCTGAAAACCTGAAAGAGGTCAGGAAGCAAGTCATGTGGGTACCATAGATACAATAGGAATAATTGTAGAACTTAGTTTAGCAATTACATGAGATAATTCCAGAGAAGTGCTTAATAGCACATACCCCAGTTGTGGTTGATTCTGATTTATGGCAATATCTTGAGATGTTGAAGAAAAGGAAGAGAAGATACAAGGGGAAAATCAAGTCTGTATTTGGAGTGTGTCTATTCCAGTAAAAACAAAGTGCTGTCCGTTCACAATGGAAGCAGTCCAATTTAGTAAACCTGCCACCATTAAAGGAGCTGATCACCCAGGGCAGGGTGATTGTGGTCCAAGGCTTTTCCTGCTGATTCCTGCACCTGAGTCTCTTATGTGGCCTTTGGACCTAAATACAGGCCTGACACCTGTGAAAGGAAGGAAGAAGAATTGGGATAGAAAGACCCTCAGAATGAGATGCTGTCTGAGAAGATTTTGGCCAGCTCAGCAGGGAACTCCAGCAATAAATTCATTCCACTAAAGCCATGGAATGAATCCCTTGGTGGGCAGAAATGGTGAGATCTTGTGTCATGCTGTGCTACTCATTCAGGAAGTGGGGGATGCCTAGCAAGTGCAGGCTTGAGCTCCAAAAATTAGGCAGTCTGGAGGCATATGCAGGTGGAGGCTGCAGTCAACTACACTGCTTACCACAAGATTTCTTTTGAAGGGACATCTGAACAGTATACCTCCTCAGCTGCCACAGTGCTTGTATTCCTTGTCTCTTCAGAAAACTCTACATTTATCTCATCCCAGGGAGGCTAACCTGTATCAACAGTCTACTTTGCTCTCTACTTCCAGTTGAGGGTTACTAATGGAGAAAGCTGTGGAAGAGGAGAGTGAAGTCAGGACATTTATTTCCGTCTCCTTACATGCTTGTCATCTTGGGCTGGCTGCATTCTTTCACAGATTACAGGAGGCCCTCTCCATAGCTCTTTCTGGGACTCTGGTAACTACTCCTACTTCTCGCTGCCCTTCAAATATCCTATAACAATTAGCCTCAGAGTCCTGCACTATCCCTTGTGGTTAGCCCACATCTTTGATAAACTCCTTTATAAAAATGTCTCCAAATTATCCCATTTGAATGTGCCATCTGTTCTTGACATACCCTAACTGATAAGGACGTCATCAGATATGGATAGTTGCTGTCCAGACAGTACCAACTCATATGACCTTGTAAACAACACAGCTAAACCTTGCCCAGCCCAGTGCCATCTCACAATTGTTATGGGTATTGTGCCAGTCCACTTCACCAAATACCCTGTTTGCCCTGTTGGCTCTCTACTCCACCAAACATGATGTTCTCCTCTAGCATCTGATCTCCATATGACATGTACAAATCAAGTAAATAAGACAGCGTTCTGTTATGATTCACAGGATTTTCATTGGCTGCTTTTCAGAAGTAGATCACCAAATCTTTCATTGTCATCTGTCTTAATCTGGAAGTTCTGCTGAAACTTGTTCAGTGTCATAGCGACATGTAAGCCACTGCTGATAGACAGGTGGCAGTTGTGCATGCTGTTACATAGATGATATTAGTCTTCACTAGAAAATCTATGAAGTACTTGTTATTATACTAGTTTAAAAATAGGGAAACTGAGGTGCATAGAGGTTAAGTAATTTGCCTATGGTCATATGGCTAGTAATCTGTCTGCCAAAATCTTCTTTGCTGTTTTACCTTGTTAGTTGTCATTAGTAAATTCTGGCCACTCTTCTAGCTTCGGTAAATAGTCACCCACAGTCTTCACTTTCCAGGAAAGAGCCCGATCTTCCAGAGAATAGTGATTGCCAACCTTTTCTCATTCTTACTAATTCATTCAAAGAGACAGATTCCTGCCCTGAAAGAGGCACAACTCACCCACTCACCCATCCTTTAAAGAACAAAAGCAGGTCATGTATCTTATCACTTACAGTAAAATATAAAATTGTACTCATATTGCAAAGAGAAAATTGTACTTCTATGAGGAAGCACAATTTCTAATTAATTTCTAATTAATAGTTAGAAATTATATAATGTTGAGTATAAACTTTACTGCTATGGAAACTATACAACTTGTTTATGGTACAGTGCTATTACTAGTAGGTAAGATTGGTAGTTGGTATATCACACTTGCAGGAAGATCTGGGAAATGAGAGAGCTGGCTGGTAACAGTTACAAAAATTCGGTAACCCAACTAGACCACTCCTCTGTTTTCTCTGCCAGTTGCCTTTGAGTTTACTCCAATTCATGGAAACCCCACGTATGTCAAAGTAGAACTGTATTCCACAGAATTTTCAATATTGTGACTTTTTGGTAGTTGATTGCCAGTCATTCCTTCTGAGACAACTCTGGGTATACTTAAACCCCCAGCCTTGTAATTAGCAGCTGAGCACATTAACCACACCATCCTGGGATTCCTGTATTCCCCTGGTTGTGGTTGTGTGCTGTGGAGTAAGTTCCAACTCTTAGCGACCCTGTTTAGGGTTTCAGAGGCTATAAATCTTTATGGCAGCAGAAAGCTTTATCTTTCTTCCACAGAACAGCTGGTAGTATCGAACTGCTGACCTTGAGGTTAGCACCCTGACTTGTAACCACTATACTACCAGAGCTCTTTATAGTTCCCTTGTTGTTGTTAAGTGTCGTTAAATTGGTGAGCTTGAACCACCGACCTTGGGGTTCAAACTGACTTTACAGTGATCGCCACAACAGGATTCCTGTTTCCCTAGGGGCAGGTATATTGCCCATTGTGACTTCTAACCTATAGAAATTTAAGAAGCGCAAGCACTCGTCTGTCCGTTTGTCTTACTATGGTGGCTTGTGTGGTGCTGTGGTGCTGGAAGCTATGCCACCGGTATTTTAGATGCCAGCAGAGTACACCTATTGTGGACAGGGTTCAGCTGAGCTTTCAGACTAAGACAGACTAGGAAGAAGGAGAGACAGGCCACTTCTGAATGTTTAGTCACTGAAAACCTTTTGAATAGCAGTGGAATACTGTCAGATAGCACCAGAATATTGAAACATAATAAATAGCACCAGAAGATTGTCTGATATAGTGCTCGTAGGTGAGTCCCTCTGGTTGGAAGGCACTTAAAATATGAATGGGGAAGTGCTTCTTTCTCAAAGTAGAGTTGACCGTGATGTCTGAAATGGAGTAAAGCCTTAGCGATCTTTGTTTGCTGATGGGGCACAAGTCAAAATAAGGAGAAACACCTTTAACATCCGTTAATAATTGAAACATGGAATGTACTATGTTTGAAACTAGGAAAACTGGAAGTTGTCAAAAATGAAATGGAATGCAA